TAAACCTTGATACTATATCTTGGGTTATTCTATTAAGGTATCTTGAAATCTAACTAAAACTTTCTTTCTTTTCAAATGTCTACTCCGGGAAACACTTTCTCTGCTTCGTCCTCCTCCAACCAAAACTTCTCTTTGCTCAATATATGCTCCAAAGTCGTTATGGATGCTCAAACTATAACGATTGGATGCGCACATCAAGATGGCTCTTCGCTTCGAGAACAAAGAATATGTTCTTGAAAAGGAGCTCAAAGAGCTTGATGAGAATGAAGCTACTCCTGAAGATCTTGCTGCCTACAAGAAACATTACGATGATGCTACCAAAGTGGCATGCATCATGGTGGCAACTATGTCCCCAGAACTGCAGAGGTACTATGAGGACTACGTACTGGCCTTTCGAGATGAACAAGGACCTTATGGAAAAGTACCATAAGCGAGCTCGTCAAGAAAAGTTCGAAGTAGTCAAGTCACTCATGGCTTGCAAGATGAAAGATGGGGAGTCAGTTGTGTCACATGTGCAAAGAATGCAACGCTACATAGAGCGTTTGGTCAAGCTCAATATTCGCTTTGATGAGGAATTGGCCATTGACATGGTCTTGAACTCACTTCCTGAATGTTATGGTCAGTTTATTTCTAACTTACCATTGAACAATACGAGCAGACCTTGGCCCAATTGCACAACTTGTTGCAGACAGCTGAGGCAGGGATGAAAGGTAAAAGTATACCCTCCACACCTGCGAGTGCCCCTGTTTTGGCTATTGGACAGGGAAAGGGGAAAAAGAGGAAAGGTCCTCCCAAGCAAAACTGGAAGAGCAAGGCTCAAGCTGGGTCATCTAGTAATGGCCCAAAGGCTAAGCCCAATGGTTTCCACTCCCCATGTTTCTGATCCAAAAGAGGCAGTTTGCTTTTACTGACAAAACCAAAAGGGGCATTGGAAGAGATCTTGCCCACAGTATCTGCAAGATATCAAGGATGGCAAAGTGAAGCCATCTTCGGCAGGTATTTACACTATTTCTGCTAATAACTCATTATCTTCTCGTTCATGGGTCCTTGATACAGGATGTGGTTTTCATATCTGTTCTGATTTGCAGGGTCTAAAGGAAAGTGAGGAGATAGAACGAGGAGGATAAACCTGATCATGGGAAACAGAAAGTCGTCACCAGTAACCAAGATCGGAGTTTATCAGCTTCTGCTTAGTAATGATGTTAGATTAGATTTAATAAATTGTTGCTATTCGTCTGAGATGACGAGAAACATTATTTCATTTCATGCATTGTTCAGACAAGGTTTTACATATTCTTTTAATGATTTGAATGGTTCAATTTCTGTTTATAAGAATGGTGTTTTTTATGTTTGAAGCTTTGCCTTGTAATGGTGTGTATGAAACAGTGACTTGTGTTGATAGCCTAGGAAATAGTGTACTTAATTTGACTTGTCTAATAGTGTAGACAAGGCATGCTTGTGGCATTGTCGTCTTGGACACATTAACAAGAAACGCATAGCCCAACTCCAAAAGGATGGAGTGTTGGAATCATTTGACCTAAAGTCAGATGATATGTGTGAATCTTGTCTTTTGGGAAAGATGACAAATCACCATTCACAGGGTCTTGTGAAAGAGGTGAAGGTCTGTTGGATCTCATACACACACGATGTGTGTGGGCCCTTCAGATCAACTACAAGAGATGCTAATCGATTCTATGTGACCTTCACTGACGATTATAGCAGATATGGATATATCTACTTGATCAGCATAAGTCAGAAACTTTTGAAAAGTTCAAAGAGTTTAAGCATGAAGTCGAAAATCAATTGGGCAAAAGATAAAAGATACTTAGATCCGATAGAGGCGGGGAGTATCTTAGTATCGAGTTTAACGACTATCTGAAGAATGTGGGATAGTCTCACAATTGACTCCTCCTAGGACACCACAGTTAAATGGTGTAGCTGAGAGGCGCAATCGAACCTTGTTAGACATGGGTTCGTTCTATGATGAGTCGGGCTTCGCTTCCTATTCACTTCTGGGGGTATGCCTTAGAGACAGCCGCCCACATCCTCAATCTTGTCCCTACAAAGAAGGTTGCCAAAACACCTCACGAAATGTGGACAGGGAAAGTTCCCTCGTTAGCACATATTAAAGTCTGGGGTTGTGAAGCTTTCGTAAGACGAGAGACTCACGACAAGCTAGCAGCTAGAAGTGAGAAATGTGTTTTCATTGGTTACCCAAAGCAGTCTTTTGGATATTTGTTCTACAGGCCTAGTGAGAACGTCTTTGTAGCACGAAGAGGAGTCTTTCTTGAAAGAGAGCTCATATTCAAAGAGGACAGTGGGAGCACTATTGACCTTGAAGAAATTCAAGAGTCAGCCAATGAAGGAACCTTAGATGACACTAGCACTCAACAAGATGAAACAGTTCCTGTTGAACCAATTGATAACTCATTACCTCTTAGAAGATCCACTAGGGTGAGTGTGCCACCTGAGTTGTATGGTTTTCATATTACTTCAGATGGTGACACATTCATAAGTGACAGAACACTGGTAAACTTAGATGAACCAGTCACTTATAAGGAAGCAATGGCAGGCCCAGAGGCTTCCAAGTGGAAAGAGGCAATGGACAGCGAGATTGAAGTCCATGTATGACAACCAAGTTTTGGAATTTGGTTGATAGTGCACCAGGTCGCAAGACAGTTGGGTGCAAATGGATCTTCAAGAAAAGACAGACATGGATGGGAATGTGCATACATTCAAGGCTCGACTGGTTGCAAAAGTGTTCAAAGGTTTTACTCAAACCCCAGGGGTTGACTATGATGAGACTTTTCGCCAGTGGCTAAGATTAAATCTATTAGGATATTGCTCGCCATAGCTGCCTTTCATGATTATGAAATCTGGCAGATGGATGTCAAAACTGCTTTCCTTAATGGGAAGTTGGCTGAAGATGTTTACATGAGTCAGCCAGAGGGTTTTGTTGATGCAAAGTTTCCCAATAGAGTGTGCAAGCTTGAGAAATCCATTTATGGATTGAAACAAGCATCTCGCAGTTGGAATCTTTGCTTCCATGAGAAAGTCAAAGAGTTTGGTTTCTCTAGAAGTGAAGATGAGTTTTGTGTGTATATCAAGGCTAGTGGGAGTATAGTAACTTTTCTGGTGTTATATGTCGATGACATATTACTCATTGGTAACGACGTTCCAACCTTGAAAGCGGTTAAGTCTTGGCTTGGAAAGTGTTTTGCATGAAAGACCTTGGAGAAGCTGCCTATATTCTTGGGATTAGAATATTGAGAGATAGAAAGAAGAGACTAATTGGACTTAGTCAGAGCACATACTTGGATAAGGTACTAAAGAGGTTTAGTATGGAAAATTCCAAGAAGGGAGAGCTACCTATCCAGAGCAATACCAAATTGAGTAAGACTCAATGCCCGAGTACAGATGTTGAAATAGATGACATGAGTCGTGTACCTTATGCTTCCGCTGTCGGATCGATCATGTACGCTATGACATGTACTCGCCCTGATGTGGCATTTGCTTTGAGCATGGTCAGTCGCTATCAGGGAAACCCAGGTAGAGCTCATTGGATAGCAGTTAAGAATATACTCAAGTATTTGCGAAGGACAAAGGACTGGGTTCTTGTGCTTGGTGGCAGTGATACTTTGAGAGTAGATGGTTACAGTGATGCCAGCTTTCAGACGGATAGAGATAACTTCCGTTCTCAGTCGGGCTGGGTATTTTTACTGAATGGAGGAGCAGTTACTTGGAAGAGTTCCAAGCAAAATACGGTGGCTGATTCTACTTGTGAATCAGAGTACATTGCAGCAAGTGAAGCGTCGAAAGAAGCAGCTTGGTTGAGGAACTTCATCGGGGATCTCGGAGTTGTTCCAACCATCCAGGAGCCTATGGAACTCTTCTGCGATAATGAAGGAGCGGTTGCCTTGACAAAGGAACCGAGAGATCATGGTAAGACCAGACATATCGACAGAAAGTACCATTTCATTAGACATAGAGTTGAAGAAGGCCATCTTATAGTAAAGAGGGTGTCATCTGAAGATAACCCAGCAGATCCCCTCACAAAGGGTCTGAGTAGGGCTAAGCATATTCAGCATGCTCGGAGCATAGGACTGAAAGATGATATTAGTTTTAGTAGTTAGATTAGTTTTTGAAACTTGTAACAAAGTAAATGTAATTGACTTTTGGTGATTAAATAATAAAGTATTATTTATAAGTTTGGCTACTACCTTTTGTCAATTGTTTATTACTGTGTTTCATATTTTGCATGTTTTACTTCCTGAATAATGAGATTATTCAAACTCCACAGTCGCTCGTACTCTTGGAAGTAAGTAGTGAATTAAGACTGTCATGAATTGGATTGCAGATTGTCTAAGGATAGACATGGCAATAGAATTGCTGCAATGTTCATGAGTACTCAGAAATTGAGATTTGAGTATTGGATAAACCCACGCTCAGAGTATTACTTCATGGAATTCATCACGAGTAATACTGAGACGATAATATCTTATAATCTTGAAACGAAGATATATGAGTTGTAATTTACAAGTCGGTTGTGCATTGGTGATACGAAAACGCATCAGTAACTTGGTGTTATAAAACGTATTGTCATGCATAATTTGATGAGTAAAAGATACAAGCATATGAGTCAACGTTTATTCGTTCCTTTTGCCCTAACAGGAAAAGCGATATCTGTGGGCCCCTCGATGATTTGGTGTTGACTTATGTGCTGGGCCCAGCCAGGACTAAATTGATGTGTTCAATTAGAAGTCCTACATCATCACAAATCAGGAATCGGGAAACATAGATTCTGGACAAACAGATTGATTACATTCCATGTCTTTTGTCTGGGGATATCAAGCAGAACGAAGGGTTATATGATCACTTATCTTAGGACACGTAACTGACTGGGTCAGAGTTCGGCAGCAGCTTTTGGAAGCTACAATTTGCTGGTCAAATTTAGAAGGCATACTAGCAATTATAGTTACAGACTTATCCAAGTGGGAGACTGTTGGATTAGGTGTCTAAGCCCATAACTATAATTGGTATGTACTTGAATTGACAGCAGCACAGTCCTTTTGGGTTGCCCTCAACCTAGCAACTAGACAAGGAAATTATGAAAGGAGAGATATTAATTTATAAGATTAATAAATTAATATATATATATATATATATAAATGATTTATTAATATGTTAATGGATTAATATATTAATTAGAAATCATTATGTTTAATTAATTGTTAGCCAAATTAATCAGAATTGATTTTGGGGTTAAAAGAATTAATTATAAGGTGCAGGGACTAGTTTGCAATTATCTAATAGTTGAGTGGAAGGCTCTAGAACCCCCTTGGAAGAGGGTGGACGAAATCTTTAGGGGAAACCCTAATAATTTCGTCCATAGGGGCTTGGATAAGGCCCTTGGGTTTGCTTAGGCCCTAAGCAAAGGATAACTAGGGTTTCCCTTAAACCCTAGATCCCTCAGCTATATAAGGAGCCTCCTGGTTCATGTTTTTTGGTCACTCTTTCTTTTGAAGAAACCCTAAGGCCGAGATTTTGCATACTCCCTCTCCTCTCTCTCTCTTCTACTTTCCTTCTTGCTAGTTTGGGTGTGACTCCATTAGAGGCATTACACTTGTGGTGCTAAAGCTTCCAAGAAGATCAAGATCAAGATCAAGGGAATATCAATTGTTTGCTATAACAATTGAAAGGTATGTAAACCCTAAACCCTAGTTTACTATTTTCGATAATAGCCTCTCTCCTCTAGGGTTCTTGTATTGCAATTCAAAGTTGTATGTTCAATAGTTAAAACATAGATCCAAAGTAGGTTGCATGTGAACTTAGGAATTGTTTTTCTAGTTTATTTGTTTTACCTAAAACCCTTCATGGATATCTTCCCTCAAAACAGGTTCTAAGTTTTCAAGGGGGGTCTATACAGAAACAAAAGGATAATTACATCAAATGCTATCCAACTTCTTCATTCTTTAAAAACACGTGTTGCACAACATAACTTACCCTTGTTTTATCACGAATAACGAACATCAAAGTTGTTTTATGTGGACTAAATAGTCGCAACATAAAGAGCAAGCTGTGAAGCACTCTTGCACATTTCCACTCCAGCTCTCCAAACAAACTGTCTGCTTCTTTTGGGAACTGTAACACCATCAGCATACTGCACACAGTTTAATTTCCCAGAACCACCTGATAGTAACAGAAAATTACACTTTTATTCCCCTAGGTATATGATTTTTAACACTATTGATTAAAAAAAGTTTTACCTAGTCGAGCAGCATGCTTAAGGATATTTTCGATGAGTATGGTACTATCACTTCCTGCAAGGTTAGCTTCAGAATTTAACTTCATTAATTAGTTAATTAATTAAAGGGTATTTTGGGAAAATCATAAAAAAGATAACCTTTTTCGTCTACTGAAGAGGCTTCTCGAGCTGTAAGATTTTAACATATATTGTGGACTATATTTTTTAAAATTTTTTAACGAAAAATTAACGAGGTTTTTCATTGTCTTACATTTATAGCTTAGTGAGATGAATGGGAAAATGATTGTTAGCAAACCACTTTATGTTACACTTGCTCAACGTAAGGAAGAAAGAAGGGCAAGGCTTCAGATAAATGATTTACCAGGAAATAATTATGATTTGTTTATTTTAGGCTGAATTCTCACAAATGAGGCCAGTTGCAATGGCACCGTCAATGATGGCGCCACGTATGCCAATGTATCCTCCAGGTTGACCGGGAATGGGGCAACAGCTATTTTACGGGCAGGCCCCACCTGCTATAATTCCTCCCCAAGCTGGATTCGGTTACCAGCAGCAGCTGGTGCCCGGAATGAGGCCGGGCGGGGGTCCCATGCCAAACTTCTTTGTTCTAGTGGTGCAACAAGGTCAACAAGGTCAACGCATGGGTGGAAGATGTGGAGCAGGTCCTGTGCAACAAAATCAGCAGCCTGTCCCAATGATGCAACAACAGGTACGATTAATTTTCATTTAGTATCTTATTATCTATATCTATATATAGCAACCATGTGAGGAAATTTGCTTCTTTTTTTTCAGATGGTTCCAAGAGGGGATGGACGAATGTATTGTTACCCGGGTAGGAACATGGGAGATGGAAACATGGGAGGAGGGATGCTTCTGGTGCCATACGACATGGGTGTCATACTTCCACGTGGAGGTGGAGGGGGAGATGGTGCTGCTAATGGCGGCATACATTAGCATCCTCCAGTGCCTATTATAGCGTTGGCTTCTGCTCTTGCCAATGCACCACCTGAACAGCAAAGAACGGTTAGTAAATATGAGAAAGTGGATTGGTATTTGTTTGATTTTGATGGTGATGATGATTGATGGTTGCTGTTTGCTACTACAAATGTTGGGGGAGAGTTTGTATCCGTTGGTGAACCAGTTGGAGCATGAGCATGCTGCCAATGTGACAGGGATGCTGCTGGAGATGGACCAGACAGAGGTGTTGCATTTGTTGGAGTCACCTGATAGTACCACATTCTTGACACTCGTGTTGACTTGTTTTTCAAATCCAATATCATCTACAAGCTTAATCCAATCAGCTGAAAAATCAATGATGTGTGTGTTCTTCTCAAACTACATAGAAAATAGTAACATTATATGATTTATATCCATAAACAACATGATATAAATATCACAAAATCAACGATAATAATAGACAAAGTACTCAGTATGTTGATGATGATTCAACTCAACCAGCTTTCCATCTGTGCAGCCTCTAAAGAATGGGGGCTCATAATCAGCAGGCTACAAGATTAAAAACACACTTTATCAATTCAATATATTGCAATGTTATTGGTTATGAATTGTTTTAGAAAATAATAGAAGAAAGGAGCTACATATCCAGATTATACCGTGACATCATCGTAATAGTGGAGATTCATCAAAATGGTGTGCCGAAACAATTGTCAAATTAGATGAAGTTGAAGATGAAAAACTCTTTATAAATGTCACTACATCAAAAATGAGTACCGCTATCTAGAGTTCTCATTAGTTGTATCAGGGTACGAGCCATCAAAAACTGATAAGTGATAACCGACGTTCAATATTTCACTTACAAACTGAAGATTCAACTCAACAATCGATATTCTGATTTCGACATTCAATTACAAACTGATCCAACGCATGAGTTCAAGACTTGGATAACATCAATTAATCTATTACTTACCTGATTAGCAGTCAGCAGAATAGCACGACTGTAGGAGTGCATAAATTGATCTTTCACAGAATCACATCAACCCTGGGACCTCGCTAGTCGATGTTGTCGCTGAAGCGTGAATCGTAGATGATCTATGTGTTCTGTTGCGATCGATCTATGCCGCCTTCTCGCGTATGACTAAGTGAAAAACTGGACTATCTTTGTTTTGAGGCCCCCTAAAAATAATGGGCCGCCCTTCTTGCCCCTCCTTATCACCGGTCATGAACCTTCCAATATCTTTGACTCGTATGGTCCAAAATACCCCTGACTTCTCATCACTTCAGTTATTGGGTTTCATATCATGATAAAATTCCAGAAACCCTATCTCTCCCTTCCAAAATCAGAGATTACAAATCCATATTACTGAAGATGAAGTGAAGATGGCAGAGATTTTGCACTAAATCAAGGGTGTTAGCGGAAGAAACAGAGGAAAAGGTAGCGAGTGTGGATGGAGAGGCGTGAATGTGGTCTAGGGTTTGAACATACCCATCGTCCCAGTCTTTCTTTTTCTTAATGAAGACGAAGGCCCTAGGGCTTTTTCTTGCTAATTGGAAGAGGCGGGGGGGGGGGGGGGGGGGGGGGGGGGGGGGTTTAATTTTTGGGATCCAATAATCGGGTGAAATCCCGCTTTAAAACGCGTGTTTCATTAAAAAATTATAAAGCGACACACTTAGATGACACACATTTTATGAAAGCGCCCTCTGCATTCCTTTTTTTTTCTTTTCTGACACTAATTTTAGGGCACGTACAAATGCGTGTCCTCTATCCTTCAAATTTTGCAAATCTGACTTTATTTTTTTAGGGCACACACAAATGCGCGTCCTTTATCAGGGCGTGTCATTGTTTGCGCGTCATTAAATGGCTGTTTTCTAGTAGTGTATGATAGTAGGAGCATAACTATTATGGTAGTATTACAAGATGACAATACTATTCGTAGGGAACAAAGTTTTCAATTTGCAAGTTGCAAAGTTTGGAAATTATTACACTATAGTAAGGCTTAAGGGAGAGGGCACTCATACTCCGTTTCGAATCTAAAAGTTTAGTTTGCATAGTTAATAGAAACATACATGAATATCATGGTGAAATGTTTCAACATAGGAAATTCGATATATAGAAATATTATATCAAGAGATACAAGGTCTTTATGTAAGATATAATGAATCGAGTCTCATATGCTACGAATATATGATCGATTACATATGCTTTAATATTCACTTGTTCAGATTTTTCCAAATGCCTAGGGTATTGAGAGGGAAAAGGGACTAGAACTTTGTGTGACTAAATTTGTTAAACAGCTGTCAAGAACATTTTAAGGTTATACCAAAAGATCGGTTGCTTGTAGACAGTTGGAAGTGTGGTTTTGTTTTGAAAGCACCATAGTGACATGTTTTGGATTGGGATGATTCTTGGTCAAAATTTATGGTCATATGGGAATATGGAAATGTTTCCATAATAGGAGTTGATTATTAAAAACTACATGTGAGTTGGAAACTTTAATGCAAGAAAGGCGTTCAAGGAGTGTACCTTCAATTTGAGACTTCATTACCGTGGAATTGATTTAACTAACAATGTTCAAATGGAACATTCTGTAATATCGTTGGCTAAGTCTCTGTGACTTTGAAGCCTCGACATCACAGAAGGACAATGCATGTAAGGTTGGAATTCTAACATATTTTAAGTAGTGACAAGAATTTAGAATTGTGAAATGATCATCATTGGAATAGTGTCCAGTCGATCTGTTCACCAAGAAAGGACCATAGAGAAACATAGTGTGCATGTTTATAACATGGCATGACCGATGTTTAATTCAAGTGGTTAGTTGATTACTCGAACCATTATACAATGAATAAAGTCTTAATTATTATGGTGATTAAATAAAAAGAGTTTTATTTCTATTCAATAGTTTTGAGACCATAGTTAATTAGGTTATTGTTGTGTTTCACTTTGCATGTTTTACTTCCTGAATAATTTGATTATTCAAATTCCACAGTCGCTCATACTTTTGGAAGTAAGTAGTGAAATAAGATTGTCATGAATTGAATTGTAGATTGTCTATGGAGATTAGACATTGAAATGGTTGCTACAATGTTCATGAGTACTTAGAGAATGGGGATTTTAAGTATTGGATAAACCCACGCTCATAGAATTACTTCATGTATTTTATCACGAGTAATTTTGAGACGATAATATCTTATATTCTTGAAAAGGAGATATATGAGTTGTTGTTTATGAGTGAGTTGTACATTGATAATACGTAAATGCATCAGTAACTTCATGTTATAAAACATATTGTTGTGCTTGATTTGATGAGTAAACAGTGCAAGCATATAAGTCAAAGTTTATTCGATCCTTTTGCCTTAAAGGGAAAAGCGATATAATTGGGCCCCTCGGTCATTTGGTGTTGACTTATAAGTGCTAGGCCTAGCCAAGACTGAATTGATGTGTTTAATTATAATCCACATCTCATGTCCGTACGATATCTTGTAGAATGGAGGAATATTTGATCACTTATCTTAGGACACGTAACTGACTGGGTCAGAGTTCGACAACGGCTTTTGGAAGCTACAATTTGATGATCAGTTTGGAAGTTATACTGGTAGTTATAGTTACAGACTTATCCAAGTGGGAGACTGTTGGATTGGGTGTCTAAACCCATACCTATAATTGGTATAAACTTGAATTGATGGTAGCACAATCCTTTTGGGTTTCCCTCAAACCTAGCAATTGAATAGGATAACTTTTTTAGCGAGAGATGATTTATTAATTTATTATACGATTAATAAATTAATTAGAAATCAAATAGATAATTTTTTAGTATATTATGAGAATAATATATTAAATAGAAATAGTAATATTTAATTAGGAATTAATCAGAAATTAATTGGAATTAATTTTGGGAAAAATTGGATTAATTAAAAGTACAAGGGGTTAAAGTGTAATTGTTCAATAGTTGAGCAAGAGGCATTCTAGAACATTCAAAAGGCCTTGGACGGTTTTTGTAAGGATCTAAAGGATCTAGAATTATCCTTGGAGGATAATTAGGAAGCTGGATAATTACCAATAAAAATAAGATAATGTTATTTTATTGGTTTGGGGCTTATCTAGGGTTTCCTTGTTGCACTTTATAAAGATCCCTTGCCCTCATAATTTCGACCACTTTATGATTAGAAGAGAACTCCGAAATTTCCACCTCTCTCCTCTCTCTCTCTCTCTCTCTATATATATATATATATATATATATATATATATATATATATATCTCTTCATGTTCCTTGGTTGCTAGGGTTTGAGTGTGAGCCATTAGAGGCACGAAACTTGTGGTGCTTGCTTCCAAGAGTTTGCAAGAAGGTTTTTTTTGTTTATTTATTTAATATAATAACTAAAAGGTATGTAAACCCTACTTTTGTTTTGTTATATTCGAAATTACTTAGGGTTTATAGTTTTGTTGTTCAATAGAATATTACTTCAATAGAGTTATGACATAGATCTTTAGGTTGCATGTACCCTTAAGAGCTAAGGATTTATCTGCGTTAATACATGTAAAACCCATCAATCTTCTCTATGAACTTGATTCAGACTAAAAAGCTTCAAAATCATAGGTTAATTTTTTTTTTAAGAATTTGAAGGTATGGTGCTAGTCATTCGCCTTTAACTGCATAAAATCCATTAAAGTGGTTAGTTATTAATAACGAATCGAAATATACCTGAAGATCCTTGATGTGAAGATCATTGGCCAGTTATACCCCCATGATAAGTGCTTCATACTCTGCTTCATTGTTAGTTGCATTGAAATCATTACTAACTGTCTAGGGTAGGATATCCCCATGTGACGATTTTAGTATGATCCCAAGGTTTTCTCCTCTAAAGTTGGATGCCCATCTGTAAAGAGTATCCTCTCCCCCCATGTTTTCTTCTTTTTGAAGTCATTGGATTTCTAAATCTACCTCAGGTTGTAGATCATCACTAAAATCATCCATAAAAACTGCTAATTCCTATGACTTTATTGAGGATATGTGATGAGCATCACTGACCACCTAGTCATTTTGCCTTAAATTTTTGGTTTTCTCATGACATTCTTAACATGATAGTTAGTTTTGACATGTATGAGTCTCAAAATAATGTCTTAGTTTAGTGGAAGCTATAACTAGTGCAAGTATTAGTTATTTTACCGGTTTTAGGAGACAAGAGACTTTTACTTAAATAGTAAATAGGATGTTGTTCACCATTAAGATCTTTGGCCAAAACAACACTTACAACATTTGAATTTACTGAAAGATATAGGAGGAGTGGTTCCCCATTCGAAGATCCTTGGCTAGGACTCACTTCTAATCCTCTCTTGGTGACCATGTAACTAAGGAACTTCCCTGCCTTCATTCCAAAGTGACATTTGGATGGGTTCAACTTCATGTTGTATTCATCTAATATATCAAAGGCTTCTTCAAGATCCATGAGGTGATATTCAGCTCTTTTAGATTTGACCACCATGTCATCGATGTAGACTTCCATGGTTTCCCCTAGTTTATCCTTGAACATCCGGTTAACTAGCCTTTGGTATGTTGCACCTGGATTTTTATGACCAAAGGGAATAGCAGTATAGCAATATATACCTGTTGGGGTTATAAATGTGGTATCCTCTTGATCAGATGGTTCCATTTATATTTGTTGGAATCCAGCCAAGGCGTCCATGAATGTTAGTAATTCATGGCACATTGTGGCAACTATCATGGTGTCACAACTCCAAATTTTAGACCTAGCATGGTCTAAACCCTAACCGAGTGCTAGTGTGAATCACATTGCAATCTTGATTGCACGGTGTCTTCTATAACCCTAGGGCTTGTTATAAGAGCTAGCAAAGAAGTATACAAGGAAACCTTAACTAAATTAGGAGGGTGTAATTCACCATTTGGCAAAAAGGTTAAGGTTTAAATCATAAATAAGACACATATATGTGTTTTCGCCCATAATTAATCAAGAACAAAGTAGTTTACGCCCCATACAATATGTTTACGGCCAAAGCATTTTAGAACCATGTTGTTCACGGCCAAACCAAGAAAAGGGAAGGTAGTTCACGGTCCAAAAGTCAAAGATCAAAGGTGTTCACGGTCTAAGAAGCTTCCAAATGGTGTTCACGGTTGGAAGCTTTAATTCACAAAGGAGTTTACGGATGGACAAATTCGTAAACACCCCCCCTTAATGGGGCTGAAATCCCAAATCAAGTCCATTAATGGACCGTAAACACCCAAGGCCCAATGTCAGTTTAACCGTAAACACCCCTTATATACGTGCTTACACCCTGAATCAATTCATTTCACTCATTTTCATCCGTAAACACTCCCATATTTGCTCTCAATCTTCATCCGTGAACAACTTCAATTCCTTTCAATCTTCAAGTGTTTATGTCCAGATCTTCAAATGTTCATATTTCCCCACCAAGAACATTCAAACCATCTTCAAATCTTCATACCAATATTCAAATCTTCATAATAATCCAAGAACACACC